GGGAGAGGAAGAGGAGGAGGAGGAGGAATATCGCGCTTTAGATTTCAGTTACAAAGGCCTTGTAACGTTGATACCGTATAGTAGAAATACCTCGACGGGCGAAAGTGATTAATTATTCGTACATAATGTCGCTGAACAATTAATGAATTAAACGGTCCGGGAGATAGATTCATCATCGCTTTAAAATTACATGAAGTCATGAAGCGCGCAATCTATTACCGCAAAAGAAATATCGTTAAAAAGTAAAATGGTGATCAACAAAGGCGGCTGCCGGAGAGGGTATCAACAAGTACATACATTTTATCGTCGACGTTGATAAAGCGAAACTCCTGTAATGCCATTATGAAGTACGCGTTACAAGACAGCGCACGCGTTAACCCGCTGGGACATCAATCCGTCTCGCAAGTCAGTCTTGTGCATCCTTTGTAAACTAAGGCTGCCAGATTTATCTCCTTTGACGGAAACAACGTGAAATAAACAAGAGGGCAAAAGAGAATGTCTATATGTAGAATATCCAAAAAGCCGTTCCCCTTTTAATAGTTAAATATTAAAATAATATTTCTCTTTTATTTAACATGTCGTTCCGAAAATAAGAATTAAGATGTGTTAAAAAAAACATAAGGGTCTGTGATTAATATAGATAATGAAAATATAACGATTGATTAACAGATAATGAAAATGTAACGATTGTACGAACAAAGCATTTTTGTTCGTACAATCGTGAAAGCATTTTTCACGTTAAACCTCTTAATATTAAGCCTTTTGCTTCTTTCACGTAAGTCTAAATAAAGGCAGAGGGGGAGGAGAGAGACGGTAAAGAGAGCGAACGGAGAGAAATAAAAGATTTCATTGCTATAATTTTTAGTATAAGAGTTTATCGTAAACTCTTTTATTAGCTTCTGTTTCGTAGGAATTGTTGCAAGTAATAAAAAGAAGATACTCGGTATTTGGATGATAAAATACCTCCACTTTGATCTCTCAGCTCATACAAAATACAACTGTATTTATTACAATTTAACAGTAAGAACAGATGATATTTACGGTGTTTGTTGATGAATCTCACCTGTATGTCCGTTTTCAAATTCGTGGGGATATTGGTCCACTCCATTTTGGAGCAGGACGCCTCCAGCATCTTGTAGCTCCTGATGTGCTGGCACTTCTTCTCGGGAGCGGGAGTCGAGTTCGGCTTGCCCAGCACCAAGGCCATTTCCGGTGGTATCGTCGCCACGACGAAGCCCAGTAGCAGAAAGCCATTAAAGAGAAGGATGCTCATGTCTGCAACAGATCCAGCGAAAACATGCGCTTGAACTTTGCCCAAATCGAATCCTCGATCGGATAATCGCTTTGTGAGTGGAGCACGAGGTGGATTTCCAGAGGAGGGAGGAGGGAGGGGGGGGGGAACACCCTTGGAAAATTGTCTGGCAGCGCGACACCGTCGTTACGTGTTAGCGCGCTGTTTACGACATTTATCGGATTGTATTGTAATATGTTACGCTAAATCGTATTATTGATATTTTGTACGGTTTCTTTCTTGACCACTCCGCTTTAATCAAAATATCATTTCCTCCGTTTTAATCCGAAAGATTCGTTTTTGCAAAGCGATGAGCGGACGGCCGGCTTGAAGCAGTTAAAGGAAGTTGATTAGCAGCCCGCGAGATAGCTTTGAAAAAATTGTGGAAACTTTTCCAATCGCCCCCGTCCCTACCCCCCCCTCCCCTCTACCCCTTCCGTAGTTGCACGTCCATTTACGTGCAACTCCGGTATTTCCGTAGCTTAATTAAGTACCTTTCGGGATGAAAAAGAAAAAAGGGAGTGTACGCGCGCGCAAGAGAGAGAGAGAGAGAGATATATCGCTTTGAAATCGTAATAGCTCCAGCTATATGCTGGAGCGCAATCGCGTCTATTTGCGTTCGCCCGTTGGATGCTTTCCATGTCCGGAAAGCGGTATTATAATTCTGATAAGCATCGTTTTCGATCGAGATCGATCCGACAAACGCGAGCGAAGCGTTTTCGGCGCATCCTATTACACGGCAAGCGTCGTCGTCCGGCCGGCGCGGGCGTCGGCGGCGTCGCCGACGAGAGATGCGGTTGCCGAGAGCTGACCTCTTATATAGCCGGTTAAGTTGTCAGTCGAAATAGCTGGCCGGCCATCCGGTCCGCTTACCGCCGGGCGAAGTAATTTCCAGGTGGTGATTCCAACTTCGCGCATGGCGCATGGCGGAGAGAGAAAATTTTGGCCGTGTAAATTTTCGGACTTTGACGGCGCGGCGAGCGGGCGGGCGAAGTGAAATTACGGAGGGGCGAGGAGGGTCAGTGCGGAAAGTTAACGAGGCTCTCCTCTCCTCCGTTACGCGTCTCCTGCATCCCGTTTTTTGATGTAAAAGCATAAAACTCGCGGCGCTTCGTGCGCGAGAGGGAACAACACGGCTGCCGAAAACGTCCCGCTCGTTATCCGCGCGATCGATCGCCCGCGCGTTTGGTACCCCGATCAAATTTCTGCTTGCAGCACAGGTGTCGATGTGATACACGGGGAAATGTTTTACGACGTGGACTCGAGAAAATTGTGGGGGATATCGGATTTATAATTAATTTACTCGCGCGCGCGACATTCGCGACTTCAGCATTTTTAAGACGCCTCTCGGCTTATAAATTTGCACGAAGGACAATTCCGCGCATTTATCGCATACTTCGCCAGGTGTTTCTAAAAAAGTGGAACGTGCGTCGGACGTACGTTCGCATTCGTGAACGGGAATATTTTATTATATTATTTGCGCGTATACTGCACTGCTGCTATTTCTCGAATATTTTGAGATCTTAATCCCGTCGTAAGAAGCTTCTTTCGGTTTTTTTTTTTCTTATACCGCGCGACACTTCGTTGTACGTCGAGAATATTTTCCCCGTTCCTCGTTCGCTCCACCGCTAAGCGCCTCGTTCCGCGCGGAGGCGGCGGCCGTTGCGGATTTTTATCGCGGGATTTATTGCGCATTTCGATGAGATAAAAATTTCAAGGCGCGCTCCTCCGCCTGCTACCCCCGGGGGCTTGGATATTATAGCGGGAAACCCGGCTTCTCTCAACCATAATTAAAATTAAATTGCAGTTAGCTAAGACGAAAGTGCTCTCTTCGCCAAAGCCGAAAGCTTAATAGCATTGCGTAGGATGGAACTGCAGAAAGGAAGATGATGCGCCTGCACGTTGCAGTTCGCCGTTTGTGTAAAGGACGACGATGATGACGACGACGACAACGACGACGACGACGACGACGACGACGACGAGAGAGCTTCACCGACTTCCGTACGTCTCACGCTCATTTGCCTGCATTTGAAAACGTTATTAATACAAATTGAAACGGCAGTCTCTCCCCCCCCCCTCTCTCTCTCTCTCCCTCTATCTCTCTTTGCAAAACTTCCGCCCGATCTATCTCCCAATACAACATCTTGATAATCAAACTTACTTTGAGCACTCTGTGACATCGCTCTCTTTCTTCCGTCCCTCATTTTACACAAAGAGAATTATGAGTCTATTAGTTGTGGAATTAAATCTGATAATTTTACAGAATATTTCTTAATTGGTTGTCCGCGTAAGTTTTGCGAAATATATATTTTAAAATAATTTTTATGAAATTAGACTAATACCAAGAGATTTATATCTTTTATTTTTTTGGCTTGCAAGAATATGCACCAAAAATTTTACATAAAAGAGATATAATTATTTAAAAAATATATATATTTAGAACACATTTTAAATGATGTATATTACATTGTGAAATATCCGATATGAAATATCGCACTCTGCTTTATATATAAGGCATTAAAATACTCGTTATATAGAAAAAAAATCATTTTCACGCAATATTTTTTTTCATCGAGAAACGCAAAGAAACATTTTGAAGTATCCTTCTTCCCTCATCGAATATTCCTGTTTGCAGATACCTCCTCCTCGAGAAAGATCTTGATAAAAATATTGATGTAATATCACGAGGAGGCACGCTTGAAAGCGTTCGAAAGCATTTTCCTTGATCATTCAGTAATACCCTTTATACCGCTTCGGGAGTTGGAAACACGGAGTGTGTTTCATTTAACGGATTGCGTTATAAAGCCGTTATTTACCAACACGTTGACTAAATACCACTCGGTATTAATTTATTATTTTGTATTCACTTTTGATGATCCGTGAATAATATATTCACAACGATAATACATTTCACGCTGGTGGTGTGACGAGCCCGGGCGCGCTTTCATTTCAATCAGCAGCGACAGCAAATACAATTTAAAAGTACATTTTGTAATAGGAATATAGCTCGTTAAAGCACGGACAAGAGTCCAAATGACTGATTCGGATGTAATATCGCGAAAAATATCCGGAATATACCGTTACATGTAAATTGATTAATAACGGTTTTTAAATCTTCTTTGCTCCGCCCCCTCGAATAGTTGATAACAAAAATATTGCAGATATTTGATATATTGTAAAATGATTGACAAGTTCATGAAACAAGATAGCATAATTGACGCAGTAATTTTTATAAAATTTGTAAAAATCCAACGTTAGTTCGGAAAGCTAAAAAAGCTTTTTTTTTTAATCTAATGGACTTGCAGTTACCTGATTTAAAATTTATTCAAATTTTCTAGAATTTCTACAAATACATTGATACTATTATAAGAGTATTGACACATTAATTAATTAAAATTTTCATCATTAAAAATTATCCGATTTATCCGATTTATCTGATTTAAAATTTATTCAAATTTTCGAGAATTTCTGTAAATGCATTGATCGATGCTATTAATTATAAGAATAATGTATCGACACATTAATTAATTGTTGTAAAATCACTGTCATTAAAAATTCGTAAGCCGCCGACGAATATCATTTATTATTCTCGCAATAAATTCCTTTCAGCTATTCCAATTATTCAATTGTCATATTATTTTCAGCTGTTTTAAGCCATTTATCATTCATTTATTGCGCATTCTGGGACATGTCCCCTCAAGCGGCAATTTTATTTTAACTCTTCGAAGGAAGGGATCCATTCGCGCATGAGACGAATAATCGAAGGATAAATTTTCCGCGAAGCTCGCGTAGCTTTGTCGAGGCCACGAGATTCGGAAGTCGATGCCATCGACAATGAAACAGTACACCGCTGCACTGACATTGTGCCGGGGAGCTTATTTCCGGTGCGTACGGGGAAGGGGGGCTGGAGGAACGGGAGAACGGTGGATCCGTTTACAAGACGGCCCCGGTGATTCATGCCCGTGCAGTTTGCAAGTTTTGAAAGAAGACGACGCGGTGTTTATTGTGCCAAGATCTGATGAACTGCAGAGGCGTGGTGCATGGTGAGTTTCAACCAGCCGTCAGGGGCTTATCGGTCCGAATATCGACCACACGTCGCCGTTAATATTCCGCATGAGAGGGTCAGGTTGTACATATCACGGGTGTCCGTAACACGTGCGTCAAATTTCGGACGTTTGCAAAACACATGCCGAGCGCATGCCCCACTTGGAAAGAAATTCACCCAAGGGACGGAAAGAGCCCTTACAAGTGGACCTCTTCAAGAAAAAGTCGCTTAATTAAGAAGAAGATCGTATAACACAGTCGCGATAACCGGGGGATATTCTCACGTTATTCCGTTACGTTGGAAAAAAAATTCCTGGCAGTTATTATTGATGTATATATGCATTTTTAAGATAATTTTTTTTATAAAGCGCCTCTTTGAAAGTCTTGTCTTTCCCGATACGTCTTCAAACGTACGTCGTCGCTATTGTATAGATTAATGGTTATTAGAGATCTTTGTTGTATAAGAAAATATCGGTATGATATTACATCGGTGGTAGGAGTCCTCATTAAAATTCAACGGCAGCGAAATGTTCCGCGTGGAATTTTTATTTTAATTTAATTATTTTTGTCGGCTGAAGGGGGAATATCTTCTCTTGACAATTTTTAGCCGCGTGGGAGATTCGCTATAACAATGAGACGAACAAAACTCGGTTCGCTTCGCGCGCGAGAGAGAAACGTCGGTCGGCCGCGACGTTATACCCGACTTGTACGGCAGCGAACGTAGGTACATGTATCAAGCTTCACTGCATAAGTAATTACGCTCCGCCGTTAAAAATCTGCTAAATCTTCTCTCGTCAGAAGGGAGAAGATTCTCGGCGACGACGAGAGGCTAAAAGTCTCGGAGGAAAGGCACCGAAGCGAGAGACACACGTCGCGAAAAGTAAATGTTTCATCTCAGACGCGACAGCGCGGAAAGGAAAAAAAAAAGGAGGGACCGGCG